CAGAAATGGGAGTTTATTACAACATGTTAAGATATATTGCCTCATCAGAGAAAACTTTTGTCAGCATCAATCATGGTTTGCCTGAAACATTTCAAGTTGCAAAGACTTAATGAAGCAGATGTTATAAGGACATTCCCTGGAGACGCTATGTCTGACAATTTTTTTTGCAAACATGGCAGAACATGTTATGATACGGGTAGTAGCATTTCACAATGTACTGTACAGGCCCATTTTTTTTTACAATTTCATAGCAATTTCACCTTCATTCAGATCATCTGTGTTAACGTTGTTAGGTAAGGTAATACACTTTGATCCCAAAAACAAGCTTACCGGTACCTTACCTATTTTTGATCGTACACTCCATAGTACACCTCAGTATGCCTTGGTAGTTGACCATTCAATACTACTAGTGCTGACATGATTACTTGTCCAGAAAAGTGACCTCGGGAGTGGGTTAGAGGTACCTTGAAGTCCATACTGCATGCTATCAGAGGGTTACAGTGACTACAGGATTTTCATCTGATATTTACTCCTGAATTCCTCTACAAACTGCCCACTTACTACCACCTGGCCTGGCACATGCTGGGTTACCTTCAGGTGACTATCAATTAACTTAAAATCCCCTCCTACCCACCATTAGGACATTTAACACACGCTTTATTGTCTTTGTTGTCTTCAAAGATGCAAGAGATGTTCAAAAAGACTGCCTACCAACAAAAGACGAGTTTGGTAGATTTATGACCTAATCATGTGAAAGTTTAGAGGACATGAATCGATGCACGACAACTGCGGGGAGGCATGAGGAGAAGATGTAATTAGGATTCATGGGTGGACAGAGCTCGCATGTCCTCAGGAGAGTCAGAGAAATAAGGATGGCATTTGTCACTACTGGTTCTCACAGTTACTGGGGTTCCTCTAATCCATGAATGAGGTGTGCAAAAATGAGTTTAACTCCAAGTTAATTGTATTGAGAGAAGGTTCTCTCCCATGTTATGTTAATGTCAAGCTCGTTTTGATGTCAAGCACTTGGTTGAAATAGCTTGCAAAGCAGAGACTCCCTACTGTTGGTTGGAAAATTTTGTTTGTATGCATTTATTTCGATGGCAGGAGCATCTTGTAATGTTGTCATTCCTCTGAGTTTTTTTTGCAGCTAAGAGTCTAGACCACTTTTTTCTAGCATAGGTACCATCCTAGTAGCATGGGGAAGAGATAAAGGAAAAATCATGAAAATCTAATCGATGGATGGATAGATGGATAGATGGATGGATGGATGGATGGATGGATGGATGGATGGATGGATGGATGGATGGATGGATGGATGGATGGATGGATGGATGGATGGATGAATGGATGGATGGATGGATGGATAGCCTGAGTTTCAGCCTCCCACTCCCGAAGAGCTTCTGTCCACTCCCCAAGATCCACTACCGGCATTGGATCTTGGGGAGCGGACGAAAGCTTAAAAGGCTGACACTCAGGCTAATGGATGGAAGAATGAATGAATGAATGAATAAAACACATGGTATACATTGAAAACATCTGTCCATTGATTCTACCAAGGGCATTTTATCATATATAACCTCCTCGATTCTACCTATTGTCCCCTCCAGCAAAGATTCATTTTGAGTGCAGGTACAGGATATGTATGTATGTTGCCCTGGCAGTCCTGTACAGGTGGTGTCATATAGCTGTGGGCTCCAGTACTGCTCACCTATACACAGGTGACCTTAGCATTTACTTGTGAAAGACGTCCCCTGCCATGAATGGTAAGTCGTGGGACAGCAAACTGCTTCGGTAGCCTGGAGCACAAAGTGCAGAAGAAACGGGGGAAGCTCAGAGAGGCCGATGTTACTCTATTTATAAAATGTCAATACTGTGGAGAGTGTCTAAGGTGCCTGTTCCTGCCAGCAATCAATTACTGACACATCTGCTACAGGTGTGGGCATGGAAGAATAAATCGGGAGTCTTTCTATGCAGGCTCTTCTTTCGGGTCCAGGAAAAAATGAGGCCAGCTGACAAGAGACACTTCTTTCTCCTTCTATATAAGCATGTCAAACTCTTGAACTGAGGAAACTGATGTTACTGGTAAATACTAATATGATGGTGAATCATGAATGAATGATGGAAGGAGCAAGCAAGCAAGTGAGCTTGGCTTTACTGGTACCGTACATTGGAACAGCCCGTAGCCATCACAAAATCCTTCACAAATGCCTCTTACTAAATACCAAGGACTTTTAGCTCTGAGAAAATTGTAGGACACCAAGTCAGTGAAGTGGAATTCCCCCAATCAAGGAGGAGCATGTTAGAGCTTTCTATGAAACACGAACACATGCAACGTGACAGGAAACGTCATTTCAGATGTCATTAGCACAAGCGGATGTTCTGTCCTCAAAAAAAAAAATCAAGTACAGGTGTTTTGTGCTCATATATGTTTCACAAAAGCACGAAGACTGATTAACTTTTATAGAGCACTGTCACGCACAAAAAAGTCTCATCTGTCCAATGAACCTCTTATGAGCAAATGACATCTTATTGCCAGCTTAGTTGGCTAAGAGTCGACTAAATATATCAGTACGGCCTCATCATGCAGAACACGTAATTGGCCGCAGGCTAATAAGAGCTGACGTTAGAAACACGAGAAGCTTCTTAGAAGATGAAAAGAAAGCAGAAATCAAATTGGTATTGGAAGGTGGAGGCAGATGGTCCAGAAGATGGAGATGTACAAACTATGGATAGAAGTAGCACAGTGAAACCTACAACTAGTACAAGTGACCAACTGACCAATGTGACTACTTTTTGGTAGTTCCTTTATAATAGACAATTTTCCTAATGACACACGCATTAAGAATCCGGTACACCTGTCCACACAGACCAGATTTTATTGGTCTCTTGAGCTAGTGGTCAGCAAGACTGTCCAAGAAAATGTCTCCACCAGAGAAGGTTAGCCCATTCTCCATACATCAATGGCTGGATTTGGACCTCTCACATTACCAAATATGGGTATGAACATAGACTTGAAAGTCTTTCATACATGAAAGCAATTAAAGCTGTGCATGTCATCCTGCCAAAACCTGCTGACAGGAAATGGAGGTGAAGAAAATAGAATCTGGTGCTTTGTGATAAACATGTACCATCTCAGGATGATGCCTATCCTGCAATAACTCCTCTATTTCACCATCATGTACAATCTAGTATATACTAGATTTTTAACAAACAGAAATTATCTACCTGTCATGGTATGAAATAGAAAAGTTTTATTGCAGGAATGGCATCATCCATTCCTCTATGCTGAACGTCTCTTTCAAAAATCTATGTTTTTTTCACCTCCAAAATACCCTTGTAGCCTACTGGGCATGATTCCCTGTTTCTTGTTAAATTGTGCTCTACACTACAGGCCCATGGACTAGAACAAGGTCACAGCACCTGGAGGTCATGAACCCAAGGCCCTAATTTACACTGCAGTTTACCCTACTGCAAAGCCTTACTGCTTTGGCATGGAATACAGCTGGGAGATAAGCAGACTTTTCTGCTCAAGTTGTCTGTTGGAATGTTCAGGCTCCTTTGCTTCGAAACATTGGTTCTTGGCCTCTGAGAGGAGGATAGGGAGTATGTCATTGAGGAAGTTGAAGTGAAGTGCATCATTGGTTCATGTGAATAAAGTTGCCCAAACATTTTAGAGGCTCAGCAGCTGCCAGTATGTAAAAACGCACAAACAGTCTCACATGCAAAAACATGTTCAAGAACCACTCTATCAACCACATTGCTTTATACAACAACCACTTGTGGATGGTAAGTACCTGATTGAGAGATAATGAACCCTGACTGTGGCTGTGGTACTACCTTATTGACACACCTGAACAGTCATGAATTGTGGCTACTAAAGTAAATATAGCTACCAGTATGTTTACTTTGTCTTTCTTTCCCTTCTTGCTTCTTGGGTGAGCTCACTTGCTGTTACCAGCGACAGGGTGGAAATTTGCAAAAGGCAAAATGTCTGACCTAACAAAAAATGGTAACGTTACTCTCCAAGAGGTTGGTGGGGAAGATTGTAACCTATTATAAACTGGGTGTCTTGGACGATCAGGATGCCCTCTCTGCCCTTGGACGCATCCTTGTCTGTGCAAAATGGGGAACTGTCATCAACACCGTCCCAAGCCAGTTGGCCGTCAGCAAACTCTCATCTCTCATGGCCTGACGCAAAAAAGGGAAAATATAAAATGGTACACTCCAAGCAGAGATTGGTGGGGAAGATTGTGACCTAGTCTCCTAAGTCCTATACCATTTTCTGTTGTGGGGAGTGGTGACAGAAAATGGGGTGTATGATACAAATCTTCCCCACCAAACTCTGAGTGGAGAGTAGGTTTGCTGACTTCTCAAGAAAAAAAAAAAAGGGCCCAGGAAGACATTGATCTAGCCATGGAGGTACTTTTTCTACCTCCATGATCTAGCATAGCAAATTGTAATCTACAACATTTGATGAAAGCTAAGCAAGAAGTGTATTGAATACTAGTACTTGTTTGGACCACAGAGGTTTTAGTGGATTAAAACCTCCTTGTTAGGACCAAGAAGGAACAAATATAAACTTATATTCTGTGCAGAGATTCAAAAGTGATGAGCCTCACACCTCTTTTCTAATCGGAAAATCCCTGGATGATGGGCGACCGGAGCCGACTCCTGGGTGGCATCATGACCTCTAGTGAAAAGGGGGGCAATAAAACCTCAGGAGAACAAAATGCAGTAAAGGCTGGAGGAGCCGATGTCCCACCAGGAGGCAACATGTAGTCATAAACCCTGACTTTTCCCACGAAGATAAATGTTTTCTTTTACCTTCAAGTCTTGTGCCAATGCTTCTGTTGAAGTCTTTTACCCCTGCTAGTGCCCTGGGAAAAATTAAAGCAGTGTACTTTTGAAATACATTTTCTCATTGTTCTCCAGGTAAACATGGAATAGTAGAGGGGCCAAGTAGAGCCATGGCTAATATTGTGTCCTTATTCTTCCAGGTACTGTAGTTTGGTGGAGACGTACTTCAATACAGACCGAAGGAGTGAGGATTCCTGCCAAGCCTTTGGAGTTCCCAACCCCAATACGGTAGGGGTTGCAGTCAGCAGAAAGGATGTTGTAAGTCATCAGGATGACTTTTCCACAGGAGTTGTATCCAGTGGACTCATTGTGATTGTAACACTAACACCAACCACTGGAATACAGAACACACCGAAAATGAAATCAGCAGAGACCTGATCCTACAGTTCAAGGTTGCCAACATGGTGCAAGCTAGGAGACAGATAAAACCATGTATCTTTGCCAAAAGTGATTGAAAAATCACTAAAAAAAAAGTCTTACCTTCACCTCCACTGGTGCACCCTGCCACACCTTGCTCATTTGACACCTAGCTCCCTGTACTCAAGTTTGCACTTCCTGTGATTTATGATGGTGGGGGAGCTAATTGTTTTTGGCACCAGGGAGCAAGAATTGACACAATGGTAGCCATAAAACCAGTCTGCTGAGGAGGACCGTCTGATGTGCAAATTTTTAGAGCCTTGTCAACATTTCACACAGACCTGCTGTACACTAGCCAGGCTTTCCCAGAAGACGCCAACACTTTGCACAACAATGGGAACAAAAGCCCACCATGTCTTCTGGTATTTTGGGTTATGATAGTTTTTGGGGGAAAATCAAGCTTATGAATGAAGGAATGCAGACCTCATATAAGTGTTACTTTCAAATCTGCTTTCTGTAAGTCAGAAAACTCCTTCCATATTCCTCCTTTTATCCTATGTAACTTGAGAAATTGCACAAAGGAAAGAAATCAGTCAGAGTCAAAATTTAACTCAAATCTCCAAGCAGATTTGATTGATCAACCATTGATCAACTTTTTCCAAGGTTGATCCGTCACAAAGACTAATTTGCAAGAGGTCCTTTTTCGAGCCTCCCTGGGAAATCTTACAGACATTTTCTCTCAAATTTTCAAATTCTGCTTGGAAATCTAAACAACACAAGTTGGAGAGTCAAGTAAATGTTTACTGGTGCCCAGTGAGGACTCTCAGTTCTTGTTGGTCTTGTTTGTCTATATAAGAACTGGAGAATGACATGCTGAACAAACAAACCTACCAGCCTATCTTACTTCACACCAAGAGCTACCACCATGTTTGTTTACATTGGTAATGGTATTTTGAAATACAATAGTTTACCATGACAGATCTAGGTAAACATTATGAGGTAAAAAGCAAGCAGAATGCTTGTAAGTTTTCTTAGTAGGTATCAAATGATATTGTTACTAATTTTTGAACCTCTTATGCCAAACAATATACATATGGTTGGGGGCTAAAATTTCGTGCACAATAGATGGTAGTTCAAATGATTTGCATACACTGCACAACTGCTTTGCATAGAGAAAGAGGAAGGTGGCCATGAAAAAAGAATGAAGGTCACTGTGGGCCTCATCAGTTTTCCAAGTATCGTGTCAAGTTTTTCCCTGGACTCAGATTGGCTACAGCCTTGATGTAGATCTGATGACCACAACACTGCAAAGGCACTATTGAAAACTCTTGACCATGAGTGCATTGCTAGTGTAATTAGAAATAAGAAAGCACACTTTATTACATATATATATATACACAAGCCATACATCTGGTACATGTTTAGGTTTGTCAGTATGATGACTCGTCCCCATCGTTGTCCATAAGCAAGGATGGACAGAATGTTTTATCCAATAATTTGCACATCAATAGTAGCATCCAGTATTTGATTACAGTTGCAGGTACATACATGGCATTGTTCTTGAATTTTTGTTCTGAGCCCTGAGAACAAATGGCCAAAAGTACAGCAAAGGGTCACAGACAGGTTTGCTTTTTTGTCTGTATATTTGAGTAACTTGTAACTCAAGAAGGTTAAAAATAACCTCCTTGAGTAACTCTATTCTTTCAAGTCTATGTTGGAACACCTGGACATCAAAGGAAATCTACCTTTTTCTGCTTTTTGGTTAGTCTTTTCCTCTCACACTTAGGTCATTATTGATTGTACTTCCCATCTTCTACTTCCAAGAGATGAGCATTTTAATTCTTCCAAGGATATTATAGAGTGTAAATCATAGTCATTAATTGCAAAATATTTTTGCATGGAGCACAGGGAATCATAACGTTCACACACGCTGCTCTGATGTTGTAGCAGAGTTAGGGAGATGGTACATCGTCTGCGCCAGTCCCAACAACCTGTAAATCTCCCCATCTCCTCCAGGCTGGCTCATCCAATTCTGCTATACATATCTGCTCTGTATAATGGTTTGTCCCTATGCTGAGGGTTGGTACATTTCAGGTCTGGGGGATGAAGAAGGGGATATTGGTCTGGAAGACCATGGGCAGAGAAACCTCAAAGGTCTCAAGGAAAGATAAACAGTCTTTTCTCAGAACATTCAAAGTTTTGCCAAAGACCTGCCACTGTATCAGGCACAATGATGCTGAAGTATGAAGAAATTAGATGGCAATTCACATATCATATTGTAAGCTATTATGTGCAATAATTTTTAACATTTGAATTCTGAATGCCAGATATTGTTCCTATTTAGTTCTTTTCTATATCAGGTATCTAGAGTCTTAAGTTCCAATGTATATCTTGATATACTAGTAACTGGGAGTGGGCAGAGACAAATAGTTAGTTTATACATGTCGTACTTCGTATTTGTCAAATCATGATATGCATATAGATATACATGTACCCGTGTTTTTTTATTTTATTTTACTGTGATGGTGGTTTTATTTTAGGTGCTTATTAGTGACCCACACACTGACACAGTAATATATTAGTTTGGTGAAGGCCTGAGTTTGGTGTGTCCTTTCTAAGCACTGCTTTTATATTAGTCACCACCACATTGGGGGGTGGGGAGGGGGGCTTTTATATGCATAACCATTGAAGGTTGAATTTTAAACCTCCTTGGCATAAGATATAAAGAAAAGGCAAGCTCTAATCGGCACAATATAGTCTGCAGACATTGAGGTTTGTAGTTGGACCAGATATGAGTGAAGAGATAACAGCAAACCTGGGAGAGTTAATAGGAAGTAAAGTTTCATGTTGTATTTGAACTATTTTTGTGCAGTTTTATTTGGTGTAGGATTCTCGCAATTTGTCCGTTTATGTGAAGTTGTATCATTTTCTCAGTTGTCACAAGGACCTTTTGAAGCTCATTGGTTGTCAATGTAAATTAACACCATAAACTTTCTCGTACTGAAAGGTTGCCTGAAACTAGCTCGATGTCTCTTCTTTACTTTTTTTTTTTTACAAATTATGTAATGTGGCTGTCAGTGTGTTCCCTTGTCCTGGCACCAACGGGGATTAGACGGATGGCCCAGTTTGGCGGTTGAGAGTAACGCCGCGCTGATTGTGGCCCAATTTTCCAGCCGGTGCGCACAGAGTGGCAAACAGTGTACAGAAGAATTGACTTGTGGCCGCGGGGTTATCGCATAATGAGTCCTCCGTAAATACACTGACGTCACGCGAGGTGAAAGCCCCTTGGTAGTGGGGGCTGCGGCAAGGAAACTCGGCGATACTGTATGCCGCAAGGAGCCTTCTGTTGGATCTAGGATATCGTTTTCTGTTGGTCACTCGCTGTGGGCAGTCATCGGAAATTTATTCACAAAGATTTTACTGTGTGTGGGAGCTTCTTTTATGTTCTTGAATCTATTCCCCTACTGAATTGATGTCATTGTGGGACGAGGTGCGAGTTCTAGCTGGATGTGAGAAATGACTGGGAATAAAAGAGAGGTCCGGAGGGTAAAATTAGCGAAGGAAAGTGTCACAAACAATATCTGGGCCATCAATGGCTGTTTCTAATCTCTACCCGGCTGTTTTCCATATCAATAAGTTGCGGTTTGATTAGAGATGTCGTGCTAACGAGTGAAACCAATTCGGCATGTGTACCGACAGTCCCACTTGTTTGTGACGGGGTATCTCTCGTCAGGAAGGGGCGGAGAACTTGTTTGATGAGAGCGATAAACAACAATGGCCACTTATCCTGACCCGCGTTTGTAGTGCTAAACAGGGCGAGGTGCGATACTGAGCTAGGGAAAAAACGCCAGCGAGAGCGCGGGAAATAAGAACGAATTTCGCAGCCGTGCGAAGCCGCGAAAGTGGAGCCTGGCATGCGGTGTGTACTGGCTTCCCTGCCGCAACATTCCAGAAAACCCCAGCGGCCCCTCTTCTTGGCCCATGCGGTTTGTGGTTTGCATGCTTCTCTACCGTTCCGCCGACTGCAAATCGACTCCTGAACAACGGGGTGCTTGTTCTGCGTTGACGGCATTGGTCCGATGCGTCCATGTGATAGTGTTTGGCGCCAGCGTGTCTGGCTTGGTCGCTGCTCCTGACAGCTCACGTGAGCGATAGGAGAAGGCCGAGAATATTAATTACGTATACAACAGGTGTGCGCATGCCCAGACCGATTACGCAGGCGCAGTGTGCCCGGAATGCGATAAAAACAAGCCTTGAGGTCAACGAAACTCCGCCTCTTTCCTTTGTCAAACAGGGCCTATGTTTTCTTACAACTTTTCCAACATAGGAGTTTATTCGGAGCGTAGGCAGCAGAAAAGAAGGAACGGGTGGGGAACTGCTCTTTAACTACGGCAGGGAATCAGCAGTTCGGCCTGTCGTACCGAAGGAGTAACGGCACGAGACGCGGTACGATACTTCGAGTGAGCGGTGTGTTAACGTTCCGGTAACGTCTGTTTCGGCGGCGCCGCAGTAACACCAGCATGTTGCGAGCCATGTACCTGCCGGGCGCGGAGGATTTGCTCGAGCCTCTGCCTTTGACGAGCTCGCTGAACGAACTTAACCGAAGTCAGCTCAACCGATCCTACACTAAGCCCGTTCCTGTCCGCTCGGACTTTTCCGTCTGGGGGGACTACCTCGGCCTCGTGGACTTGGTCAAGAACGTCCAGATAGCAGCTCAGGGCATCCCAGAGTCGTTCACGGGGTTGGACATGCCAGTACGGAGGCCCGCCCCCTCCCTACCCCTCTCCGACCCCCTAGGCAGTGGCAGTACGGGGCTCAGTCCGTCGCTGAGCCCGACAAGCGACGAAGAAGTTGACAGGCTGTTCGCGCCTATCAGCCGAGAGCGTTTCGACAGCCTGGGT